TTGCAACCTTGCTAGATAAATTTTAGCGGAAATTTTATCGAAAATCTAACGTGACAGCCGCATTAGTGCATTACACCAAATAGTGAACATTGCTTTCGACTTCATTCTTTAACAACCCAACTAACAATATTTTTTTCTGTTTCAGATTCTGATGCATTTAAGTTGATAATATTTTATGTATGGCTTTCGCTTGTGTCAGGACGAGGAACCAAAATCCAGCTTTCATCTCAGTCACTATCTTTGGGTCTGGGAGAGCTCCTGGAAGTCGGAGTTGCCTACATTGAGAGATGCTTTTGAGATACGGTGTTTTAATCCAGCAAATCAGGTGAAAAGAACCAAAGAACTTACACAAACAAAGACATTGCCAGTGAGATATGATTCAAAGCTGTCTTGGCATTAGTACACTCTGGCTAACGCTCAGTTCAAGCCTCCAGTCATAACAACAAGTCAGAAGATTAGTGAGATCACAGCTGTTGGGGAAAAGGCAAGAGACATTTCTTGGGAGAGAGGAAAATTTGCAGTTATGACAGCTTGCCAAGCAACTGGACCAAAGGTTATTTGGATGCCATACCACGGTAAGCTCAATTGTTCTCTGTCCTGAGTTTGATGCGATCGCGACTGTAAATCCGAGGCCCACATCTCCTGTATTTGCAAGCGTGGAACTGAAGATTCCTGTGATCAAACTGGCATTTGGTCGCCAATAGAGAGAGAAGATCGGCAGTATAGGGCTCATGATTTCTAGCCAAGATATCTGGAGTCCAAGAGAGACAGGAGGCCAGCTATTAAGAGAGACAGAAGAGGAGAAGATACGAGGAAAAGAGAGACTTGAGAAGGCCCAGGGTGAGGTAAAAGGCCGATGATTGGAGTCAAGGTTGATTCAGAGTTTAATGACTTCCCCATGGCTGATCCGAAAAGGACTAGGAGAATGGTGACTTTGTCCCTAACCCAGAAAATAATGATCCCAAACCTTCCAGGCATAAGATCTGAATAGAAAGATATCCCGAGTAATAGCTCTGCCAGCACATGCGACACCACACTGGTCTCAGAGAAACTGCAGAGATAGCAACAGCTGCCTGGGTTGACGGTGGTTTGATAACACCTGGATGATGTTCACCTGGTGATGATCATAACAAAGTAAGGAGAGCTCACAGGAGAAACTTGTCAGGCAACCCAGGAAGAGGAGTTTGATAAGGATAAGAGAAAATGGAATCACTGTTTGTTCTTTGATGGGAGAAGGATGACACTAAAGTGTCTGCGAAAGTTGGAGATTCTGGACAGTTGTTCCCTGCCATGGTGAAGGAGGAACACTACTCCCTGCTGCAGTGAACCAGGAGGGAAGTATTTGTAAGATTACCCAGAGAAAGATGACATCAGGAACCAGCTGAGATAGTGGCAGATAACATTGTGAACTGCCTAGAGAGAGGAACGTGAGACCAGACCCTGCAGGCCATTGGAGGTGACAGCACCAACACTAACACAGGGGTGGCAAGGGGGTCATACAGTGGATAGAGCGATGATTGGGGAGGAAGCTGGTCTGGATTGTTTGTGACCTCCACACCAACGCAGAAGCTGCCACTCAGACATCTCGATCCAGGAGCTGGATGGCAAGATTCTTCAAACAACAGATGGTCTGGTCCTCTTGGCAAGATGCTGACTGCCACTGAGTTAGAAATAACCGGCTTTGAAAAAATCACAGTTGGCCCTCCACCTGTTGAGCTTGCATACTGGTCATTGACGACCTGAGTACTGACCAGCACATGATTTGCAGTGCCATCAAAACCAAATATGCCTTGATAGACTTGCTTACCTGCAGATAGGTCCAGTCTCACATTCTAGGTGGCTCACAATGGCTTCCCTTTTGCGGGTCCTCTGCAGAATTTGGGTCGCCCATCATAAACTGAAAGGGAACCAGCTTTACAACCTGAGACTTATTGTCCAATTCATCGTGAGTGCCTACTTGCCAAATTGGTTCAACACTGCTAACAAGTCATCGCCTCCCGAAGGTCCGCCAAGATGTTCTTCTTCCAGCTTGAGCTCCTGAGGAGTCAGCCAAGGAAGGTTGTTCAGATTAGAGCAGACTGTGAGGAGATCTTCCGGTATTGTGCTCATCCCGAGGCAGCTCCTGCAGACAATGCTCTGCAGTAAGGATGAGGAGGAGAGAAGAGTGCAGTCAAAGATCTTGGATATGAGACTTATGAGAGGACTGGGCATGACGAATCAGTTGGTGACGATTCCTTCTCAGGGTCAGGAATACTCTTGGTCAATCTAGGTGGCCAAGACCCTCACTGATCTCATAGATCTGGATAACATCCAGGCTGGCAGTGAGCCCCCCACCTGCAGCCTCACCAATGTTCAAGTCATCAGAGCTTCCTGACAACCCCATGCATAAACCCCTGCCTGGCCTGCACACCCAGAGTATAGAGCGTTGTGTACAGCAAGTGAGCGAGGCCAGCAGCTGTACAGCCAGGAGAGGAGGGAAGGCCACATCCGAGTCACAGGGTCAGCAGGAGTGATGAGTAGAAACAGAAGCAAGAAAGACATGTTCTCTATGGTGCAGCAACACCGGGTCGTAGTAGTAAAACCGGCTTTTTGTATTTGATGATTTTTATTTTAAAGGAATATTAAATCTCTAATAAATGTGTCAAGATCATTCGCTTCAATTATTCTGGATCATTTTCATCCCAATAAATTAACCTGATACATTTATTTTACTTTAAATAAGCTATTTAGTGGTGTTGGGTAAAAGGGTGGGAATACTGAATTTTCATAAGATTGTGTTAAATTTACCTAGCAAAAAATGAAAACTTTTCAAATCTGAAGATATCACATGATTCTGCACATAGAACTACATCATTAATACCATGGGCCGATTTTTCAAATTCAAAAAAAAAAAAATTCGCCTCCGTATGACACACCCTAATGCTATAGCCTTTGGAAGGTGGCATGTAATTGCGATCCCGAATATATCTGATGGACTGATACATATAGGGAATCATCGGTTGGATCAATACCATGCATCTGGAGTTTGACACACTATGTAAATGGCAAAAGGAGTTTAGCAATAACCGATGCAGTTGACATATGCTTTTAAGGATTAAATGTAAAGTTGGGGCTTTACTCTGGAAAATCAATTTTATTGTGTTGAGTTGTGGCAATATGTAATTCAAAATTCAAGTAGCAGAACACAAGTCTCTCCTCAATTACCCTGATGTGGAAATACAGTTTGAGGGGGTTGCCACTGTTGGAGTATTCTTGCAACAGCTTCATGGAGTGACAACCACCTCGTAGCACAAGCATTTGAACTTTCATTCTGCTAGTTACACAGTTATATTCGCCCGTAATGTTTGATGCCCCATCTGCAGCAGACCCAATGAAGTTGTTCAATGGTATATCATGTGTAGTGAGGCACTGAAACAGCATGTTATATATTTTCACCAGTCGAACCCTGATCACCTTCAAATACTCCAACCAAATCCAGCATCGCGATTTTGTCATTATCTCTCCAGATCAAAATACTTCACTATCATTGCACGTGATTTACTTACTGAACAGTCGGTACTTTCCTCAATAATTACACTAAATTTATTTGTAGTTTCCTAACCAAGTTTTGAGTTGCACATTCCCCTAAGGCTTGCACGATGACCTTGCACCTGGTCCACTTCGTTGCCGTTTGAGCAGCTGTCTTGGAATCAGGAACATTCGCTTGTTGAGGTCGTCAAAGTGGTCACATAAGCAAAAAGGAATATTACAATTATTTGGCTATACAGGGAAACCTCGGATAATAACGGTTCGACCAACAACTTTCCATATTATAAACCCTTAACGAAATTTCGGTTAACGAATTACCTTCCATAAGAATCTTCATCTCAGTTAACGAAAAAAAATTCGGTTAACGAATTAATCGGTTCTGGGGCTTAAATTTGGCTACCATTTTAGTAAATATCAAGAAGGTTGTACTATTCCAATAATTTCCAAGTTTTATATTAAATTTTAGTCATTTAACAATTATTTAACATAATTGAAGGCAGGAAACCTTAGTTTTAGCTTGCCCAACTCACCAAACAGGCGTCAGTTTGTGTCTCTGCTGCTCAGTGGAGGTAACATCTTTGCTTGGGCTACTCTTGAGACATAAACTATTTTTACATTTTTACAATTACAATTATTGGTCAATCTGAAGTTTATTTTTACATATTGACAATATATGGCGCAGTGCAGTGTTGATTAAAAGAAAATAATCTTGAATTACACCAAGTGAACTAAAATTTTTATGGGTGAAATAGCGGCATGAAGCATGAGGTGATTTCTCTTCCACCTAGCTTCCTTCTATTTACTCCTTCCTCCTCCCACCTACTGCTGAATTCCCATCATCATCATCATCAACCAGGAGCCTTCTACATGCCTCAAATTAAGTGTACTGCTGCATTTTATTTTTAGTTTGTATGTGATTTTTCGATGAGCTGGAACCAATTACAAAATCCCACATTAAAACAATGGTTTAGGTTAGCAGAAATTTTGGTTAACGAACGACCTTCTGGAACTAATTGTTGGCAAAGGGACCGCTGTATATTAAATTTTTTTTACATTAATTTTTACTTACAGCTACAACTCATGATCCAGGGCTCCCGACTGTAAACACAAACGAAAACGGCATCCTATGTCTCTTCTAGCAGCGACCACATATTATTACAGGTATTCATTTTATATTGTATAAAGGTGCATTCAGAAGCATTATTTAAAGAATATAGTTTGTAATTTTCATTAATTGTATTGTTTTTCTGGGAAAAAAGGGGTAAAAAGCCACAAAGTATGAAAAAGGGTCACACTTGGGCATCTCGTGTGTGCTTTACTTTAATAGTAATTAATGATAAGGCAATTTCTACCTATCACTGCAATATTGAAGGACACGTAATAATTATATATGAGAGAGAGAGAGAGAGAGAGAGAGAGAGAGAGAGAGAGAGAGAGAGAGAGAGAGAGAGAGAGAGAGACTTCATATTCACCTGCAGCTTGCTGTTTTCCACCTTGTTGCAGGGCAGCACATCGGACTCATCACATCCTTATCACTTGTGTATCTCTGAATCAAGTCAGCGGTATTACATCTTTACTTCTACGTGCTCTCCCAACCAGTTGTAGGCAGAGTTCTGAAAAGAGAGAGAGAGAGAGAGAGAGAGAGAGAGTGTTAATAATGCTATCGTGAGCATAATTTTTGTTTACTCTTTGTAGAAACTAGGTGTTTTGGTTGATTTTATCCCACTTGCAACAGTTATTTTGGTAATTTAAGAATTTTCTTGTATATACAGGGTATTGATGTATTAATTATGTAAGAGAATATTCTAGAATGTATTGCATCATTTTTGTTATGATTTACTTCTTATTGTAAGCCAAGATAATTCTCCAGGAGTGTTGCGAGCAGGCCTCGCGTCTGGACGTTGCTACAGAATACTCTAGGCGTCTGACAGAGACATGTATAGCGGCAGTGAGCGGCCTTGGGAGTCAATAGATCGCTTCCATTCAGGTCGCTTCAAAGACTAAGCCCTAGCAGAACAACTGAAGGCAATTGTTGTGCAAGTGACATCCAAGGTTGTTTGCGATTAATATAAAATTAGAGAAGACGCTGAGAATTGTACACTGGTAGTGTACTTTGACTATATACTTGAGAATACATTACCCTGTTAACAGTGTTGTGAAGAATTACTGTTTATTAAAGACTACAGTGCACAGGGTGTGTTTCAGTGACCTGGTGGAAATCTACCTGCAATTTGTTTGTCTGTACACTGATACCGATAATCGGACAATTACCGGAGACTGGCAGGACAGCCGGTGGTAATTTGAGAACTCTTGTAAGATATCTACTGCTCTGTACATACGACCGTAGCCGCTGGTA